GTCCTGCAGTTGAGGGTGTCAGTCCTCTAACCTCTCAACTTTGTGTTGGCTCCTCTAAGTCATTAGCTTTTCCATCTAAATTTTAGAAAGAGTTTCTCAACCCCTGCAAGATAACGTGCTGGGATTTTGATTGGGATTGGGTTCTCTACTGATCAAGCTGAGAAGATTAAAAAGTAAGCTTTTTGTTGTTTTGCCAGTTTTCTGTATTTGGTATTTAAAATATCTACCATAAAATGCCTGGGGGAAGCTTGGACATCTCACCCCCAGCCTGACTGAAAGAGAGGCAGCTATATCTACAAGGTCTGTGGGGGCATGTTGCTCCCTGGTCCTGTCAGGCCTCAGCACTAGGGCTTCAGGGTGCCAGGTGTCTGTGGACAAAGAGGGACATCTTGGAGTCTTTCAATCTGCCTCTGCTTCTTACCTCAGATCATGCCAGCCATGGTGGGAGGCTTTCTGGATCGTCCCATTCCCCCAGTGCTTCTCTAACATAACTGACCCCAGTCTGCCACCCAATCATCATGTCTTCCTTGGGCAAAAGCAGCATGTCCAGAAAACACTTTCTCTTTCTTTACACCCAAGACAAACTGGACACTAGCTCACTGACTCCCACCATTTGAGAGTTACACAAAGTGGTCAGATTGCCTTTGGTGAGAGTATAAAGCTGGAAAGCCCCAGAGCTGGAGCCACTGCAGGGAAAGGCTAGCCCCAGTGGCAGAGAAACAAGGCCTAGGACACAGGGACATGACAGAAGCTGAGATCTGGGGTGGGGTGTCAGGGAGCACCTGTAGCTTTGTTTTCATTGAGTGAAGAAACTCCATTAAACCCTTGTTTATCTTAAAAAGGAGTACTAGATCCTTTACTGCACAGTCCCATTTCAATCTGCCTCCCTGAAATGGCTTCAGATTTCCTTTTTGGAAAAGCATAAAATAGTTTTTTTATCTCATTTAGTTAGTTGAACAAATGACAGTTAATAAATATCAAGCATCTATTTTTCTTCCACATGAAGAATTTTAAACAACGTCATATCTTGGATGATGCCTTGATGGTTTCTCTGCCTGACTTGCTCCTGTGACCACCACCACTAGGAAGTGGCCCCCAGACCACCATGAGCACTGCCAGTAGCATTTGGTTTCTAGACCCTGCTCTGGAGTGTTGAGGGACCAATGGTCATGGACTTTGTGCTTTGTGCCCTCCCTGGCGGCTTTCTAGTCCTAGAGGGTGCAGGATGTTAATCAGAAGCCAGGGATGGGGGAGGTGGAAGACTTTGATTGATTTGGGGGGCTTTAATTCAAGTAATCTGTCAAAGAATTGGCATTTGGGGGTTCAACATTAGGATTCAAAATTAGGCTATTTATAACTGGGAGTCAAAAAGATAAAGGAAACACTATTTTGCCTACCATAATCTAGTTGAGGAGACAAGATTTACGGAAGAGTTGCAGAGACTCTTGAAGAGAGTCCAGAGAGTCCAAATATTTTGGATTTTTTTTGCTGGGCCTGGGTTTGAACCCACCCTCCAGCATATAGGGCCAGCACCCTACTCTTTGAGCCACAAGTGCTGCTGCCCATAGCCAAGTATTTCGCAGAGACTCATACATCCTAGTGAGAGGACAGGTGAGAATCTGCCACTGCTACATGTTGTAAGTGACATGGGAAAGGACTTGCTCCATCTGTGAGCATGTTAGGTCATTCACTCTAGAGCAAAAAATGTGTGTGTTTAGCAATTTCAGTTAACATTCTAATGGGTAAAAGAGCAAACTTGCTAATACACCAGCATATGAAAACTCTGTACTTTAAATGCAATGTAACTTTGCCATGGCTTCTCTGACAATTGTCTATGTTAAAGGTCAGAGGAAGGGCAAGGTGCAGGGAATTTTCCTTTAATGCTCCAATTAAATATTATATAACAGGTTCAGAGTATTCTTATTTCCTGATCCCCTATCCATTTCATGGATAAGAAAAGTGAGACTCCAAGAGGTTAAGTAACTCACTCAAGATCACCCAGCCCTAAGTCTGCCTTGCTCCAAGGCCCATGCTCTCTTGGTTATTCTGAGAGAAAGCTGAACATTTGGAAGCAGAAGCAGCAGTTGGTCACAAGCCAAGTTCTGAGGCAGGTGTCGGTCAGGAGAGCCGGTCTGTTTGAAACTAGCAGTGTGGGAGGGGCTGGGAACTGGGATGCTCCTGACTCAGAGGCCATTTTGGTGCAAAATGAAATGAAATAAAATAAAATAGTGTTATAATAAGACTTGTACTAATCAATACTCCAGTGAAAGAAGTAGGAGAAATCCAAGGTCAGATGAATTTCTACTTCGTTTACTCACCCCGGACGGTCTCAACAGGCTTTGCTGGTGCTGAGTCCCTGTCCCTTGCTGAAGTTAGCTGACTGTCTTTACTGATCAGTTGTGTTATCACTGGGGCTTGGCTGAGTTGGCTGTGTTCATCTGAATCCAGCACAAATCCTACTGTAAATCCCATGTCCAATCAACTGTGAGAAACCTTCAGGAGTACCTGATTTGGGGGCAGCCTTTCATCTCCCCAGTACTCGGCATAGCAGCAGTACCAGACCTCGTGACACCTGGAAGGCCACAGAGTACTGGGCTTTGTAGTGATTTTTTACTTGCTACTGACTCTAAGACCAAAAATTAAGCAGAAATGACCATGTAAACAACATTATAGGGCAAGCAAAGGAAGGTCACAGTTGGGGAGATGGAGCCTATAGCTCAAGGGCGGAGTCTTCCTGATGGAAATAGTGTAATCTCTCCTGTCCTGCTGCTGCCTCACCCTGACCTCACCTGCACTCACCTGGAGTCTCCCCTGCTCTGAACTGTGCTGGGCCTGCTCTGCCTCCAGGGCCCTGCCCTCCTATGTGTGTCACAGCTTTTCCACTGCACTACAGCAGCACAGACACTCCTGGCTGTGGGTTTGGACACTGGAACATGCACTGGGCTGTTTCAGCCTCTTACCGGCATGTGCTGTCTCCCACCTTGTTAGGCTCTGTGTCCCACATGTGCCATGGGCACAGAACTTTGAGGTGGGCACTTACTTTGAAGCTGTCTTCTAAATGTTAGTGCCCTGGCTCCTCAGAGCCAGGGGCACTGTCACCCTGTTCCTGTTTCTGTCTTTCTCAGCTGCCACCCTCTGAGCCCTCAGGCCCAGTCCTGTCTGTCCCTCTGTTCTTGTGCTCTCTCTCTGACTTGTGTGTGTCCTTCATATCCTTCCCGTGCAAAGCACCACACTCTTACCTCTCCAGAAGGCCTCCCAGTCCTGAGGGATTATGAGGCACCCACCTCACTCTGGCAGTCCTATCTCATCTCTGCTGTGGCCTTGCTTAGGAGAAGACAGCAGCCTGAGTGCTTGAGGACAAGCCTGGCTGGCAGAGGGCCTGGACAGAGCAGTTGTCTGTCACAGAGAGCTCAAGGACAGTAAGAATTCAGGGAGACATGCATGAGGTAAACGACTGGGGGGCTTTTTTCCCTTCAGTGAATGGCCTTAAGCTGCTCCAAGTCAGGGAGAGGCCCATTCGCTGCTGAAGCAAAGGTCTTCCTCTGCCAGAGGGGCTCTGAGAAGGTGACACTGTTCCAGGAATCTCCTTCCCCTCTCAGCCTCCCTACCCCTCCCAGCTCTGCTGGGCCCCCTTGCAGGATTGGTACTCCCTCTGTCTTTGCCCAGCAATTTGTGAGTCTGTGCCCCCTGTAGGAGATAGTGTGATAGTGCTGTCTCAGTGAGGTGTGTCCTTGCTCCAGGGCCCCGATGCTCCACCCTGGCAACAAGGCCTGGGGCGTAGGGCCGCTAACAGCTTTGATCAGGGTGCAAGTGCAGGAGCCAGGACCACCCTTTGCTCCCACTGGGCCTGTAGGAGCCTCCTCTGGTGTGCTCTGGGCCTCACTCATCCCCCCTCTTTTTATTTTTTATTTTTTATTGAATGGTAACTATGTACATTAATGCACTTCTGGGGTACAGTGTGGGGTTTTCACATGCAATCTGAAATACTTCCATCAAACAGGTCAACACAGCCTTCATGTCATTTTCTCAGTTATTGCTTTAAAACCTTCACATTCTGCTCTTAGAAAGATTCACCTTCATCCCCCCTCTTATCCCATCCCATTCCTGTGCCTTTTGGGCTTTGTGTATTTGTGTATGTGAGTGTGTGTATGGATGGGATGTGTATGTGTGTGTATGTGTAAGTATGTGCATATGTGTATGTGTGCACATGTGTGGAGAATGGGGACAGTTATCTCAAAGCAGCTTAGGAAGATAAAAATACGAATAAGACCTGTGTTCATTGAAAGCCTGGGACCTCCTTTTTGGGCGTCATGTCTCTTAACAGAGCTAACCCAGCAAAGATGTGAGCCCTCATGTGGGCAGTGATGGCAGCTTTCAGAGTGGCATGTATGACAGTGATTATATTTCTAATTCATTTTTATCCTACACCCTACATTGCTGCCTGAGAAGCCAAAGGTGCTGAACTATTGGGCGAGAAGGGCAAGGAAGGTGAGCTTTGCCCCAGAGCCACAGGTCAGATGCATGTGTTGATGGTGGACCTGCTTAGACACTAATGCCGAGGTGCTGGAAGCCCACGCATGCCAGCATTCCAGTCACCACGGCAGCAGAACCACCTGCTCATACAAACAAAAGTTAGCCAGGTCAAAGGTGCTCTCCAGAGGGGTGAAAGGAGCCTGAGGATTTTCACCTTTGATTCCATCCAGAAAAAACTGACTGTAGTCCTTGAGAAGAACTTGATGATGAGAACTTAAAGGCTAATAGAGAAGCCGGTACATATATTAATAGAGAAGCCTGCTTTAGCTAGACATAAGTAATGCGTTTCATTGTTACAGTTGAATTAGAAAAATAATATACTCCTTCAGGGAGGACAAAATACCATAATTAAAAAGATAAACTATTAGAAGGAATTCTGAATATTACTTTTCTCAAATTTTTTCCTAATGCTCTATTTATGATCCATGAGTGCTCAAAGCTGAGAAATAAGTATAAAATGTACTTACCTTAGCTCTGAAGCAGGAACTTTCTGGTTAAAATGACTGAGAACAAATGCACTTTGAAATAAAAGCCAGGGTCCTTGGTCCCAAGGGCCGGAACACATGCATCACAGGGAGACAGTCAGATTGTTATCATAACCTTGAGTGAATGTCCTATGAAACGAATGGCATATTTCTGGCAATGTGAAGTTCGAGAAACAGAATGACGCAGTCAGATTAAGATGTAATTTCCATGGGTTGCTTCCAATGTTGAAGACAACGTTTACAGCAGGTAATGGAATTGCAATCCTGCTCTTTTTAAATGTTTTAGAGTTGCATTTAGTTTTAGATCTAAGAATTTAAATAAACTGAGCTTTTAAGGAAATGGTTTTGAAGGAATTTGTTTTAAGATTTCTAGCAAAATTCTCAAGACATTTTGCAAACATTTGGCTCATTAATCTCATTAAGAAGAAAGGAATGACCCCATTGCTAATATTTCACAAGTCTAAATGATAAGACCAAGGAACCTCGTGCTTCTGTGCCTATAATGGGCCATGGGCTGAGACGAGAAAAAAACCCCTGTGTCCTGCCAATTCCTTTCAGTCAGAAAGCTTCATGGAAACCACCATAGGAAGGTCCTTTGCTCAAAGCTTAATTCTTCAGTTTTGGGTAGGGTGACCAGACATCCCGCTTTTGGTGGGACAGTCCCACTTTTCAACAATGTGTCCCGCGTCCCACGGCATTTTAAAAAAGTCCTGATTTTTGGAAAGAATGCACAAATGGGCAGGAGAACAAGAAGGGAATATAGGTTTTCGGCTGCCATGTGGCTATTTCACCAGAATATGAGTTTTATATTATTTTTGTTAATTTTATAATGTTAAACTGTAATAATAACAAGTAATTGCTGAGAAGTGATTCTTGAGAACTGCTTATCAAAGTTTGCATTGTTGTCAGGCCCTGCCCTGCCCCATCCCCCGCCCCACCCCCCTGCCCCCACCATGTTGTCCTGCCTTACCGATCTTAAAATCTGGTCACCCTAGATTTGGAGTGCAATTATGGTTGTTTCCTGTTTTCCAAGACCTGTAGTCAGGGCTGCTGTTAGTATCAGGTACACCAACCTGAAAGTTGAAATGTGAAATTGGGCCAAGTTTTGGATGGACCTGTGTCTTTGAGGCTGAGGCCAACCCCAGTAGCTTTTTCTGAAAACATTAGCTCCAAGCCCCAAGCTAAAAAGTGTTCCCCTGCTGTTGATCTGGAAAGGGCTGTCTTTAATCTGTCAGGCAGGCAAACACAGCTCCACATTTTGGCTGTCCCTGTCCCTCCCCTGAGGCAAAGTATGTTCCTGGAGCTTGGAACTCCAGGTTACCCCAGGCTTAGGTTGTCTCAGCGTAGTTGTATTTCCCATTGACATGCCCTGGGGCATCCTCAGAGCCACAGAGCTGGGACAGTGCTGAAAGCAAGGCTTGGCCTCCAGAAAGCCTCTGTTTGTGTTACCTGGAAAAGCAGAGATGGGTATCCTGAGCCATTGTACTTGCAGCATCCCCAGGCCCTTTGTCAGAGGTCTGCAGATTGATTAGCTGGCAGGGCTCTTGGTGTGGGGCTGCAGGCAGAATGGCAGATGGTGGAAACATGGGAGGAGGTAGGCTCTCTGGGGAAGGCAGGCCTGCCTGGTCCGCTGCCAGGTGAGACCTGGCAGCTCAGTTGAGGAGGTTAGAGGGAGGTTTCCAGCAGGGGGAAGGTTGCCCAAGAGGTTGGCTGAGCCCTATAAAGAGAGTAGCCTCTGGTATTTTAGTTCTTCCTATTTTAATGGCTCCTTTACCTCTTGAAAGAAGCAGTGTAGAAATCACACAGGATTTAGAGCCAGAAGACCTGGGTTAGAATTCTGACCTGCCAGGTCCCGGGGTCTTCATTTCTCCTATAAAGTGGTTTGTTGGAAGGATTATCTTTGTGAAACTGCTCAAAAAACTGGAGAATCATGTACCAATGTCTATGGCTTTTCCTATACTCTACTCCAAAATGTTTTTTAAATTATTATTATTAGTTGGCATTCATTGAGAGTGCAAAAAATTAGGTTACACTGATTTCGTTAGGTAAAGTCCCTCTTATAATTGTGTGCTGCCCCCAAGAGGTGTGTCATACACCATGACCTTACAACCCCTCTCCTCCCCTCTCCAGGCTCCCTCATTCCCCTACCACCCCCATGTATTAGATCAACTACTACCTTCATATTGAATTGAGTACATTGGATTCTTGCTTCTCCATTCTTGTGAAGCTTTATTAAGAAGAATGCGTTCCACTTCAATCCAGGTTAATAAAACAAGATGTAAAGTCCCCATCTTTTTAAATGGCTAGTGCAGTGTCCTTATGGTAAAATGATATTTTTTCTTCTGGGTATATGCCTAGAAATGGGATTGCAGGATTAAATGGGAAGTCTTATTTGAGTTCTTTGAGGATTCTCCATACTTCCTTCCAAAAAGGTTGTATTAGTTTGCAGTTCCACCGGCAGTGCAAAAGTGTTCCCTTCTTTTTGCAAGCATGCCAGCAATTGCAGCTTTGAGACTTTGTGTTACGGACCGTTCTCACTGGGGTTAGGTGACATCTCAGGGTGGTTTTGATTTGCATTTCTCTGATGGTTAGGGACGATGAGCATTTTTTCATATGTTTGTTATTAATTCGTCTGTCTTCAGGGAAATTTCTATTCATGTCTCTTGCCTAGTGACATATGGGATTGTTGGGTCTGTTTGTGTTGACTAATTTGAGTTCTCTGTAGATCTAGTTATCAAGCTTTTGTTTAATTCATAATATTCAAATATCTTTTTCCATACTAAAGATTGTCTATTTGGATTGCCTGTTGTCTCCTTAGCTGTACAGAAGCTATTTAGTTTAATTAAGTATCATTTGTTTATTTTTTATTGTTGTTGCAATTGCCACAGAAGTCTTCTTCATAAAATCTTTCCCCAGGCTGATATCTTCAAGTGTTTTCCCTACACTTTCTTTCCATATTTGTATTGTTTCATGCCCTAGATTTAAGTCCTTTTCTATTTTGAGTCAATTTTTATAAGTGGTGAAAGGTGAGGGTCCAGTTTCAGTCTTTTCTATGTGGTTATCCAGTTTTCCCAGCACCATTTATTGAATAGGATTCTTTTCACCAGTGTATGTTCTTGTTGGGTTTTCAAGATCAGGTGGCTACAAGATGGTAGTTTTATCTCATGGTTTTCTATTCAATTTCAAATGTCAATGTCTCTATTTTTATGCCAATACCATGATGTTTTGATCACTATGTCCTTGTAATATAGCCTGTAACCTGGCTTTGCTTTTATTACTAAGATTTGCCTTGGCTATACAAGGTTTATTTTGGTCCCATACAAAGCAAAGAATTATTTTTTCCAAACCTTGAAAGTATGATGGTGGTATTTTAATGGGGATTGCACTGAATCTGTAGATTGCTTTGGGAAGTATAGACATTTTCACAATGTTGATTCTTCCCAGCCATGAGCTTCTGCTATTTCTTTTCTTACGGTTTTATAATTTTCTTTATAGAGGTCCTTCACCTCTTTTGTTAGGTATATTCCTAGGTATTTTATTTTTTTTGAAGCTACTGTGAAGGAATTATGTCCTTGATTAGCTTCTCAACTTGGCTGTTACTGGCATATACAAAGGCTACTGATTTTTAGACATTGATTTTATATCTTGAGACAAGTAGTTTTGAATCACTTCCTGGAGTCTTGTGGTTGAGTCTTTGTGGTTCTCTAAGTATAAGATCATATCATCCGCAAAGAGTGAGAGTTTGACGTCCTCTGTCCCCATTTAGATGCACTTAGCTTCCTTTTCTTGTCTGATTGTATTGGCTAGAAATTCCAGCACTATGTTAGATAGTAGTGGTGATAGAACCAGTTCCATTTAGAAGTGGAAAAGCTTTCAGTTTTACTCTATTCAGTATAATACTAGCTGTGGGTTTGTCATAGATGGCTTTAACCAGTTTAAGAAATGTGTCCCCTGTGCCTATATTCTTAAGTGTTCTAATTAGAAAAGGGTGCTGAATTTTATCAAATGCTTTTTCTGCATCTATTGAGAGGATCATATGGTCTTTATTCTTCTTTCTGTTGATATAGTGAATTACATTTATGGACTTGCTTATGTTAAACCAGCCTTGCATCCCTGAGATGAAACCTACTTGGTCGTGATGTATGATTTTTTTAATGTGAAGCTGTAATCTGTTGTCTAAGATTTTATTGAGAATTTCTGCATCTATATTCATTAGTGAAATTGGTCTGAAGTTCTCCTTTTTAGTTGGGTCTTTTCTGGGTTGTGGTATCAAGGTGATGTTTGCTTCATAGAACGCATTGAGGAAGATTCATTCCTTCTCAATTTTTCGTAATAGTTTCTACAGCATGGGAATAAATTCTTCTTTGAAGGTGTGATAGAATTCTGCTGTGAAGCCATGTGGACCAAGGCATTTTTGTTGGGAGATTTTTTAAATTGTTTCTTTGATCTCAATTCTTGAAATTGATCTGTTCAAGAGATCTATTTTCTTCTTGATTAAGTCTAGGGAGAGGGTGTAATTCCAGGTATTGATCCATTTCCTCCACGTTGTCAAATTAATTTGACATGTGTGGAGGTATTGGCATGTGTGGAGAAATGGTATTGGCATATGTGGAGGAATGATATTGGCATGTGTGGAAGAATTCTATTCATCTTGTTTTCTTGTATCTCTGTGGCATAAGCTGTTATTTCCCCTTTATTGTTTCTGATTGAGGTTATTAGAGATTTTACTTTTCTGTTTCTAGTTAATCTGGCCTAAGTTTTATCTATTTTATTTATTTATTTATTTATTGAGAAAACAATGTTTTGTTTCATTACCTTTCTGCATGGATTCTTTTGTTTTCAATTTCATGAATCTCTCATTTAATTTTGGTTATTTCTTTTCTTCTGTTAGGTTTGGGATTAGATTGTTCTTCTTTTCCTATTCCATTAGATGGTTTGTGAATTTGTTGATGTGTTTAGACACGTATTGCTATAAATATCCCTCTTAAGACTGCTTTTGCTGTATCCCACAGGTTTTGGTAACTTGTATT